TCAGATGGCTCAGTTGATACCTTTTCTCCACTTTGCTGTTGGCCCTACAAGCCACTTTGCAACCTGACGCAACCGCTGCATCTGCTCTGCCTGCTCTGTCATGTGCTGTGGGTCTTGCAGCTGCTCTAGCAAAACTAATCTATACATTTGTTTGACTAATGTTGGCCTCAGTGAAGTGTATATATTTGTGAGTAGGATCTGCAGTACATGTGTTGCAAAATGAATGAGTATTTGTCATTAATTTCCTTATGTTTTGCTGTTTCCATTGTCTAAAGCTGCACTGCAGTGATCTCTCTTTGTTGCTGTAAAAACAGCTCCAGGAAATCTACAGTTGATTTGTGCAGCCCCACAAATGACTAAATTGGCATACTTAAAGACATTAAATTGTGGTAGACAAACTGTTGTAATGTAAGGTTGCAAGAGTAATCAAGCACACACACCCTAACAATTAAGTGCATGTGTAGAGCACTGATGTTTTTAAGTATACCTTTAAGTGTACACTGGATTTAGATATGCTGATCTAAGATAGAGAGGCCAATAAATGGTAAATGGACATTTTCTGGATATATTAAAGGCAAACAGCATGGTGAATTTTGCTGAACCCACACTTTACAAGGACTGTTCCTCTAGAGCAGGGATTCAAATATAAGGCACGGGGGCCTAAATCGGCCCAGCAAAGTCTCCACTGGATGGCTTTGAAAAATAAAGGCCGCGATATACCCGCTGTAATGGCCACTTCACTCACACCCACAACAATGTTTCACAGAAACTTGAATTCATACCCACTGTTACGGCACAGGAAGCCATTGCAGTATTGTCCTGAAGGATCGGTGTCGCCATTCAGATAACATCACTGCTAAAGTACTGCTATAATAATAATAATAATGATGGATTGGATTTATATAGCGCTTTTCAAGGCACCCAAAGCGCTTTACAATGCCACTATTCATTCACTCTCGCATTCACACACTGGTGGAGGCAAGCTACGGTTGTAGCCACAGCTGCCGTGGGGCAGACTGACAGAGGCGAGGCTGCCATATCGCGCCATCGGCCCCTCTGGCAGTTTACCTATTCAGGTTGTAAATTGTGCTTTTAAAAAGTAACTAAGTAACTAACTAAGTGATTTATTGCTTTTGAAAATAAGTAATCAGTAAAGTAACGGGATTACTTTTTGGGGGAAGTAATCACTAATTAGTTACTGATTACTTTTTTCAAGTAACTTGACCAACACTGGAGATGATAAAGGAGGATCCAATCGCAGGCAGTCGTGAAGGTGAGAAGGTGGTTTATTGAACACAAAGCAAATAGAGAAACGGCAAATGGGACAGAAGGCTATCTGTAAGATAACACACCGATGAAGCACAGTGAATACACAGACGGACCAGCGACTACAATGACAGGAGACACGACTGAAATACACTCAGAGAAACACAGGGAGATTACACACAGGTGGGGGACACAGCTGGAAGTAATTAACGAGACGAGACAAGGAAGGTAAAACTGAATACACTCACATGAGACGCAGACCTTCACAATAAAACAGGAAACAAGAGATCACTACACAAAGACGCAGACTGGACAAAGAACTAAACCCACTCAAAACATGAGAACACAAAACCAGCAAATAAACCAGAACCACTGAACAAAAGACCAATAATAATAATCATAATAAACAAGCCACCAGAGAACAAGACGATCATTCAAAAATAAACCAAGACATAAAAAACTCAAAATGCTGGGTCGAACCGACCCAGAACTGTGACAAAACTAGAAAGAAGACAAGCGTTTGTCAAAATCGGCGCACAACACAAGCGATGCATCAAGCATAAAAAAAGCATAAGAAGGGCACATATTTAGGGTTTTTCAATTATAATACGTTTTGTAGCTTTTCCTGCTAATAAAACCTCATCCATGGCCGTTCATGCGGCACCAAAGTAAACAAGTCTTTCCGGCCCACTTATGATGAAAGTGAGCTGTATGTATATGTATATGTATATGACATCGCTGCTCTAGAAGGTATTAATAAATGTAAGGGATAATCTGTTTAAACAAGATAAAGACAATGGATAGACCGTTTTGTTTTTGCTGGGAAAATCTTGCCCTTTGCAAAATATCTCCACTACTATTACCTTGTTTTTACTTTACAACAACCAGCGCTTCTGGCGCTCCCCCTACCAGGGACTTTGCCCAGCTCTTTGCACACAGTGCACACATCATGTACTGTATGCACACTACTCCAACTCTAAGTCTCAGAAAACAGAAAAACACGCAATTAAGTTCCCTGGGGAATTTCCCTTTGTCCTTCTCACCATCACCTCTTCCTGAGCATCCTTTTTAGGCCTGCCTGGGGTTCCTTCTATCCAGTAATTTCAAACTATATAAGGCTGTAAAGGAAACAGCCTGTTATTCCAACTTTGGAGGGGGGTCAATGAAAATGGGTGAATGTGCTGAGTCCACTCTCTATGAGGACTATTGATAGATGTTGTGAGATCCAACCTGTTTAAAACAAGGTAGAGGCAAAAGAGAGACTCTTTTGTCCTGTTTGCCTTGCACGTGAAACAAATTATGTTTTTGGTCCTGAGGCTCTTCTATTTAATATTTTCTGAGGAAATGTAATAATTTAATTTAATAAATTGTGTTAAATCTCAGTCATTTCACTGCTACTTCTTCCATATAGGTCTGGTGAATGTGTAAAGGTTTTAGATGGTATAAAGCTGCCACTAATCAGCATTTTTAAATGGAACAGAAATATGATCATCTACTAAATGTATAATTAAAGCCAGTAGCTTATCCTAGCACAAAAGCTGGAATTAACACAGTAGATCTTAACTGTTTATTTTATAAAAAATAAAAATATATGTAATGTAATGTTGCCAAGTTGCCTGGAGTTATAGCATCATATTTAGCAGCAATAATTTACTCATCTTGATCCAGGCAGGACTATTTTTGCACGAAGTGCAGGCACACCTGAGAACACTCCTACCTAGAAAACAACATAGCACCAATGACATTAGAGACTGGGTGTGTAAATACTAGATGAAAGAGCTGATGATGAGGATGTGGCCTGAGCACTGCTTCCGTTATCCCCAATCTGCAGGGATAAACCTCATGCAAATCTCGATTGGATTAGACTGAAGCACGGGGAGCCTAATTAGGAGAGGTTTACTGCTACAGGCATTAGTTTAAAACCATAGGAGAGGCTTTTTAAAAGTAAAAAGAATTAAAGTAGGTGCACTGGGGAATAGATGGAAAAATAGTGGAATGCGAGGTGGAAAATAATAAGCAAAACAGGTAGGCCAAGAGTGAGGGCACACAGCAAGGATGTCTGATGTGAGGAGAAGACAAAGGAATGTGAAAAGATGGAAGAAAGGTGGCTTGATAAACATGATTGCACAACAGGGGGTTTGAGACACGGAGAGGGAGAGAGTTCTTAGAAACACCAGATTGAGCTGCAAATCACAGTCAACCCAGAAATGATTCCCAGACCACGGAGAGCCTGTTGCTATGGAAACGTCATCATTGCAGGCACTGCTTTAATCCGTGGAAGCCTGTTAAGTTAACATGAGGCTCAGGCAGCCACCTTATGCTTCTGTACTCACAACACAACGCCGTGCCAGCATTGTAGCCACTCGCTACAGACGAGATTTATTTACAAATGTTTTTGCTATTAGAAAAATCAGGATCATCTTATTTGTATTTATGGTTTTCCTTCTCTCCTTCCTTTGCTTTCTTTGGTTCAATGGATTGCAAAACATATAGCCTTTTGCGTGCGTGGCCCTTTACCTACTACACTTAATCGCCTTCTCCTTCATGTCAGAGAGAGGGTACCCAAAGGGTGGAATTGGCTGATGCACCGTGATTCTGCTGATGCGCTGGTGTGAATTGGACAGGGCGGGTGGTGAAACATCAAACCTGCGAGGAAAAGAAAGGCGGGCGGCAGCAAAAGAGGACAGAGTCGAGTAAGAAAAGCTGGGAGACGTCTGTGATATTGTGTACTGAGATAGTGTACACAATCAATGCCAACTGGGATAAGGAGCAGCCAGAGAATAAGGCTGCACTGCTGACAGTTTAAATGGATGGGGAGTCTGCATCTGGGCATTAATGCCTCCAAGCCTTCTCCCCAGCAGCAGAGCAGTCAGTCAATCAGTTATACAACCAGCTCAGCCATAGCAGGATTGGGGGAGGGGG